TTTTTAAAAAATTTAAGAAGTTTCCAACTCTACTTAATAAGAACAAAAAAATGTTTCCTTTTTAAACTGAGTGATAGTATTTTCTTTTTACACTAAAAATTAATTATATTTTAGTCCTATGATCCTTATCTGTAAATAAAATCCTCTAACAATTCTTGGCTATGATTTTCCCTTTAATAAAGGCATAAACGTAGAGATAAGCATCGTACAAAAAAATGGTGAAATGCCCTATAAATATGATTAATCTTTTTTCTGTACCTAATATAAATAGGATTAGAGGAATATGTATGTGCCTTAAACTCCATGTAAAATAGTAAAATACAGAACTCACATTGTAGTAACGCAATAAAAAAGATACACATTGTCAATCATAGGATAAGGCATTATCATACGTCACCCAATATTAATAGAGAATATACATTGTCAAACCCTTAAAATTTCGGAATAAGGCAAAGATTAAACAATCATTTCATCTCACTACTAAGCCGCCATACGAATGATAAATTAACTGCGAGTATTGCACTGGAAACACAGCAACTTATATGGCATTGGTTTGCAACATATTCAAGCTGCTGTATTAGATTTGACCACCATAATCACTCACAACTGCACTCTTAATAGACTTACATCGGGCAAGATAATTGGACGAATAACATATTAATAAATAACATGAAACGAAGCTCGAGCACGCCTAGGATTCTCTACTACACTCGAATTTTATATTGCTTACCAAACTTATGAATAAAGATGTACATCTAGGAATCATTTCCACGCCCAACAAGGCTTTGTGTGTCTGGATTCTTGCCCCAAGCTCTCTCCTTCCATATCAGCTCCACTTCATCAAATGTCAATCCTTTGGTCTCTGGAACATACACAGCCACAAAGAGAAAGGCCAGTACAGCTATGCCAGCTAAAATCAAGAAAGTTTGACCGGTCCCTACGGCATCAGCAATTGATAGAAAGGTCTGGGACACAATCAAATTTGAAACCCAACACACGGTAGCTGACATTCCCCCGCATATTCCGCGATATTCCTCAGGATATATTTCTGAGTTCATAGTCCAAGGCACAGGTCCCATTCCAGGAGAAAAGAAAGCAATATACATGGCTAAACCCACAATTGCAAGCCATCCATACAAATTACTTGCAGAGCCAGAAGATTGGTTAATAAATGACACAGCAAGTATGATCAGAGAGGCGATTACTCCAGCTAAGCTAGAAAGGGCCAATTTTTTCCGCCCTGCATGATCAATGAGGTAGATGCCAAGAGTTGTACCAGCAGCATTCATACCAGCAACAATGAGGGATAGAAGAAGAGCCAATTGATTCGAACGGAAGCCAGCCATTTGGACAATTGTTGGGCTGTAGTACATGACTGTGTTTATACCTGTAAATTGCTGAAAAGCCTGCAGAACCATGGGATGTTATAAGAATACACTTGCATGAAAATGTTGTCATTTACAAAGTACAGTAGCTTATTGTAACATGCTTCCAGAATTGAAGAAGTACCTTAAACGGCTTAATCACAAATACATGAATTTAACAACAACGAGAAAAGTTTGGCAAAAATATATATATATATATATATATCTCTCAAAAGAGAGCATCAAAATGGGGCTTATGTTTACTAGGCCCACTTACTTATTAACCCTAGTTTCTTTATTTATTTTGTATCTTTCAATGTATCATTATTCTGTAATCCCAGTTTCCTTGCTTCTCTGTACCATCTACATATTATCATATAAATAATCATATTAAAAGAAGTATAGAAATCTTATGTAACTACCAACTAATACATTCTCAAATGAACAAAAACTAAAATTACATTCTTTAGTTTGATGGCCAATCTAACTAGCTGAATTAACCCAACTGACATTTAATTTCATGCTTGGTCTTGTTCTTTAAACTGTAAAGTGACAGCGGAACTTTCCAGAGAACAACCCATAATTTGATCAGTTCATCAGAATTATCCCCCTCAACCTTTTAACAGCAAGGGGCATTCACAACTGTCAGTCTGATATTCTTTTCTTTTTTGGTAATGTCACTCTGCTCTTCTAAGGCTATGTTTTGTAGCAATGTATGTCCTAATTAAGTACCTGAAGTCCAGCTCCAACAAGGAAAGCAAGCCTAATTTCTTTTGACCTAAACACATCCCAGTATTTGATATCATTCCTCTTTTGGCTTTCTTGTTCATACTGAGCTGTAAGGAAATCAACTTCATCCTCTAAGCGAGCATAGTCATAAATCTTAGTAAGCACAACAACGGCTTCATTTGTTCTATTCTGCATTCAAAGACAAGATATAGGATACTCAGTAATCACCATAATTTGAAGGCACATTTTTGACAAAAATTTTCTTAAAAAATATACAATTTTTTACCTTGATAAAAAGCCATCTGGGGGATTCAGGTAGGAAGAGCATGAGGAAGAACTGCACAACTGCTGGCACACCTGCAACTCCAAGCATCCATCGCCAAGTCCCAGGGACCTGCTTGATGAAGAATGTGGTAAGTGGTCAGAAAGCAAATAAGTTCGAAACAGGAATGTAATATTTATGAACCAAATAGTTCCCAAAATATGAAACTTCTCTCAGTCTGTCAATGTTATTTTAATATTTTTCTAGCTTTTATCAAATAGAAGAACAGTGAAGCCCTTAAGTTTTCAGAAATTTAAATGTGGAAGGTAATGGTATCACTGTTTTGAAGCTACAATTTGTAATAAGTTCATAAGTGCTACACAAATCATGGCAATGTATTTTTCTACAAGGAAAAACCACTTCTAATTAATTGAATATATTAGAAAACGCAGCCAAGCAATCAAACTTTCTGGTATGTATCATATTCTTTCCAGTCATTATTGCAGTTTGATTTTTAACAGAAAAATGAGAAATCTTATGTTAGTCGTTAGTTAAGAAAAATATTCCATAAAAAGTTTCTACCAAATAGACATTGACTCCAAGTGGAGGATACATAAGTTGATCCTGACATTAATATTGAATCTATAACTTTAAAAATCAATAAAAGAGAATAAAATTAAAAACATTTAAAACAAGATTACAACTGGAAAAAGAAAGAAAACACAAATAAGTAAAGAATGAAATTCAAAGTCTAGTCTAACCATTGAATTGCTTTCATCCTGAGATATCTACCCACCAGCTGATGTGGCTGACTACCATCTACTGTAAGTACTTTAAATATCAATGCTATGCATAATATGAAAACTATATATAAGCATAGCTCACGCAAGGATGTAAAGTTGAGTCTCTATATCTTTATGATCATTGCTACCAAACAAAAGCCAACCAAACAGCAAGAACCAAAAACTAACCTCCGTAAAAGCAAGGTTTACAAGGTAGGAAAGAAACTGTCCACCAGTTATCATAAGCACATTTGTGCTTACTAATCCTCCCCTTATTTCTGATGGCGAAGCTTCGGCAATGTACACAGGAGCAGTGACAGATGCTATACCCACACCAATACCAACTAGAAGACGTCCAAATATGAGAATATAAGGACCTGGCGAAGCAGCCATGACAAATGATCCAAGAGCAAAGATAACATCAGCAATAAGGGTCGCCTTCTTTCGTCCATAAGAATCATTGATCCAACCACCTGCTGCTGCCCCAAGAATTGCACCAACCAATGCCATGCTAACAATTGTTTCCTGGCAACTCAAACAATTAGGAAAAAGGCTGGAAACATTAAGAACAGTCTGATCATTTTACTCGATAAATTTCAGAGTGGGTGCAGCATTTTATACAAGTGAGGACTGAAACAGAAGGAGAGGACAGCTTTTGATGTTCAGCCAATTGGAAGGAAAAAATTAAGAGAATTTAAAAAGTTGTAATAGTCCTTCAATAATTATGGACCTGATCAGTTTTACCATAACTACTGACAAGCTACACATTAACAACAGATCTGATCAGTCACGCCAAAAAGATTACATAATAACTACAGGTCAGAGTATTTTACAAGGACATAAAAGATGATAAGAGTCTCCAATCAACACAGCAGAAACAAGAAAAGTTGTTTAAAACAAAAGGTACGAGTATTATAACCCAAAAGAGCTCTCAAATAAGAGCAAATGAAGATTCATTCAGTACCTCACAACAAAAACACTCACTTAAAGCTAGGTAAGATACTTTCTTTGCCAAAAGAAAAGCTAGGTAAGACACAACATAAGAACACCTGAGACTGAAAACCACTTAATTTTGAAAGGTTGGCTGTCTGCACCAAAAACCAGATTCAAACTCCTCCTTTTCAGTCAGTTTTCCCCCTTTCAAAGCCTGCACCAACTGCTCCCTAGCCACTTCTTTCTCATTAGCACTGCAAATTCCTTTTTAACTCCTTTCTTGTTTGTCTTTATCACATATACCCTAGAGGCTTAAGCATTCATTATATTTTTTTTTTTTCAATGGCTGCATTAAGGAATAACAACATGTCGCCAGTCATTTGGTCTGAGGCCCTAACAATTATCCAAGTTACCTCATCCACTATAGTAGAATTAGTATCAAAAGTACCAGGAGAACTGCCTTTCAGGGCTATAGTTCCAGAAGCAATGTTGGAATTAGAAGAGGAATCTTGGCTAATTATTTTTGAAGTAAATTAACCTGTTTTACATAAAAACTGTCGGTTTGCTTGCTGGTTTGGAAGTCCCTTCAGGGACAGCAACGTAACCTTTGTTATTGATCTCTCTTGATGGCTTTCGATCAGTATAATTGAAATGAAACTTCCACATTTCTCCTTTGTGCCGATAAACAGCAAAATAGCATCAAGGGTTCCCTTTCTGTCTTTGTTGTCATTATTCTAGTTTACACCATCAGTCACAAGGGCAGAACCATCAATAATTGTAGAAGTTGAAGAGGCATCTTGATGTAAAACACACACACTCACATTGATTTGAACAGAATAGGATGAGGAAGAAGAAACAGAATCAGAGAGTGAGAGGTGAAGGGGGAGCGAAAACAAAGGGGAGAGATGACAGAAAACAGAGAAAGCAGGGGAAGTGGAGAGGACGTAGAACTGATAAATAGGGGAATAGAAGGGGAGAGGCAGGGAGAAACATTCACAAAATTTAGCAATTCATTCATTCCAACTCTAAAAACTTCCTTACATGTGCTGCATGGGGGCTTTTTATAGAAGCCACAATTAAGGTTTCCTTCTTATGAAGGAAACATAAAATGAAATAAAATATAAGCTTGAGGTTTCCTTCCCTATAAGGAAAGCTCAACTTGCAGATTTAAAATTTATAAAGAGTAAAAAAAAACAAAAGCAGGTCAGGTTTCCTTCCTTAGAAAGAAACTTACAAAATACTAACATTTGCCATATTTTCTATCAATTCTCTAATGTTTCTCAGCCCTGCGTCTCTCCCCTTCTATTCCCCTATCTATCAGTTCTGCGTCCTCTCCACTTCCCCTGCTTTCTCTGTTTTCTGTCATCTCTCCCCTTTGTTTTCGCTCCCCCTTCACCTCTCACTCTCTGATTCTGTTTCTTCTTCCTCATCCTATTCTGTTCAAATCAATGTGAGTGTGTGTGTTTTACATCAATTTGGTATCAGAGCAAGGCTCTGAACGTTCCTAGGCTGTTTCTGCGGCCGGAGATCGAAGGAAAACTCTCAGGGAAGCTCAGCATACTTTGTTCACGCTGCCAGCACCCAGAATCACATTTCCCGACGTCGGATCCAAAAACGGACGCTACCATCGTGCTCAGAAGGGAAAATCCGGTCAGAACTAGAAAAACCACCTCTGCGCGCCGTCACACGTGCCGGTGGAGCTTCTGCGCGTGGTATTCACGCCTCGCGCGCCGTCATTCGCGCCGTCCGTACAGTCGTGGCCAAAACGAGATTTTCAATGTTTTCTGTGTGTTTTCACCGAATTTCTTTAACTCTGAAGGAGCTGAGAGGCGCAAGTCATCATCTAAAACTTATTTGGGGGTAAAACTTTTTGTTTTGAGCTCCTAAAGCAACGCTGGTAAGGCCGACGACCCTTTCATTTAACTGGCTTACTTGGTTCTTAAAAGGAGGTGTTTCATTCATAGCTAGTTCTGAAATCTTTGTTGTGTGGTACTTTGGTTTCTTTAAGCATTGCAATTTTTATTTTATTTTTATTTTTTTTAATCATGTTTTAATATTTTGAAAATATATATATATAAAAAAAAGGAAAATTTACATTGATCATTATGTTGTTAATTTGTGACTTTTGATAGTAGTGTTCGTATAACCTAAGACACCTACCTCACACACAATCCTGCCCTATACCTGTGTCCAAAAATTACCCTAGGTTAGTTGAAGTTTCTAACAGTTTCCTAAAAGGTTTTTGAACCTTCGAAGATTTCTGTGAAGACTTCACTCGAGTTGTTACCTATTTAGCATATGATCCCTGTGGAATTTTTGAATTCTCAGAGGGTTAGTGTTGTTAAAGAAGGGACTTCACCTATTTAGGTGAGGGCAACTTGGGGGCCTTTCTTCCTTAGGTTATTAAATCCTCATTGTATGACCATTCATGATTTATACGATAAGCAAGCTTTATTAGACCAAGAAATTACTGCCCTAAAATCTGCCATGGCTAATAACTCCCAAATCACCCAAAATCATCTTGAGAAATCTGAAAGGACTCAAAGGGCATATGTGGACCAGCGGCTGGAAGAAATTAAAGAATTCATGGACAATAAATTTGAAGAGATAATGGGTGCAATTCAGTTGACATACAGACAAGATACAAGGAAAACAACTGAAGGGATACTCGAAAGACCTATCATTAGAGGAGAGTCAAGTCTTAAAAATGAACAATTCCCAGTCCGCAATCAACTTAGAGGTAATTCCCTTAGGATTGGTCATTCCTCTAGAGCTATGGGTGAAAGACATAGCAGAACATTTCCTCATGAGTTTACCAATCATCATTCTAATGACATAGATGATACTTGGGATGGGCAAGAGCCTAAAGAACAACATCATAGACCATACCAGTTAGTCCATAGGAATGGTAGAGAAGGCTTTAGAAGGACACATATTGATGACATCACCAAAAAGGTTAAAGTTGAAGCTCCTGAGTTTGATGGATGATTGAATCCTAGTGCATTCCTGGATTGGTTAGCCAGCATGGAAGATTATTTTGAATGGTATGACGAGAGATATTCAGCAAGTTCGGTTTACGAAGATGAAGCTCGTGGGATCTGCTAGGAAATACTGGCAAAATGTCCAAAGGAACATTGAGCGACAAGGTTATCCACCGATTGAGACGTGGGATGAAATGAAGGCCAAGCTGAAAGAAAAATATGTGCCGACTCATTATAAGAGTCAACTGTATGACAAATAACTTAATTTGAGGCAAATCTCCACAACTTCCGAGTATATTTCTCAATTCGATGACCTTATGATTAGATGTGACGTGGATGAAGAGGAATGGCATACCATTACCAAGTTTGTTAATGGTCTCAAGCCATATCTACAGAAGGAGCTCAAGTTAAACTTTCCAGAGTCTCTTTTGAAGAAGCTTATCATAAGACTTTGGAAGTAGAGTCTCTGTCACAGTACTCGTCTGCAAAGCGTATCGACATGCAGAGCAATCAGTTTAGACAAGCACGAACTTCCAGTCTGTCTGAACGACCAACAGGAGCACTTACATCTAGGCCTAGCTCGTCTTTTACACCTACTCAAGCAATTGGGTTAAGGGGTAATACTTCTAAGCAGCCTAGTGAGGCTATAGTTCTTGCTTCCCACTATAACAATTCCTTTGTCGAGTGTTTTCGCTATCACTCAAAGGGTCATATTGCGTCAAAATGCCCACAGCGTACTCTAGTTATTGACTCACAATATGAAGGTGAGGAAGACAATGCAAATGCTAACGTTGTCGTAGATCCAGTTGAGTGTCCTTCAGATGTCGATAAGGACATCATCATTGATGAACATGGGTGTGAGACACGTCGAGTTGGAGTTATGCGATGCATTCTATCTGTCCCTCTGCCTAGTGATTCATGGAAGCGAACAAGTATTTTCCATACTTTTGTGAAGTGTGGAGATAAAGCTTGCAAATTGGTGATTGATGGAGGGAGTTCTAGAAATGTTATTTCTAGTCAAGGAGTAGCCCGACTCAATCTCAAGACAGAACCTCACCCAGAACCTTTTCGTGTTGCATGGGTCGACAAAACTTCTTTACCAGTCACCCAACAATGTCGCGTTCCTCTTCACTTAGGTGACTATAAAGAAGATATTATTTGTGATATTCTTCCAATGGATGTTGCTCACATTTTACTTGGTCGACCGTGGCTTTATGACCACAATGTTATCAATCATGGTCATGAGAATACCTATACATTTAAGCATGGAGGCAAGACGATCCTGTTACGTCCTGCTAAGCCTGACAACGAAGGCAAAGGCTCAAGTAAATCAAAGGGCACAAAACCCAAAACCCACAATTTGCATCTTCTGACAGAAAAACAGTTTGTACAAGAAAGCAGAGAGAGTACGATCGTGTTTATTTTGGTATCCAAGATCTCGCAACGAATTGCTACTACTTCAGAAATGCCAGAGGAAGTGCAACAGCTCTTACAACAATTTCAGGATATCACTCCCGATGAGCTTCCATCTGAATTACCACCAATGAGAGAGCTCCACCATGCAATTGATTTCATTCCAGGTTCACAACTCCCCAATCTACCGCACTACAA